CGCATTTGCAGGCTTCGGGGTCGGGGCGGGGTTAGAGGTTCTGAGACTTGGGCAGTTTCTGGGGTTGCCCCATCCGGGGCAGCTGCGGAGGCATTCGAGTCTGTTCCTCCGGCTGATGCTCCGGGGTCTGACCAGTGGGCCCCTTCTCTTTCAGCTCTCTCGGCTGCCCCGGCCTTTTGTTCTGGGGCCGGGGCTTTGGTGGTCGACTCGGCCCCGGGGCCTGGTGCAGAGGCCCCTGGGGTTGGGGAGGAGCGGCCTTGGGGGCCTTGGGCTCCATTGCGCCCCGCCTGGATTTCCGTCCTTCTGAGCAGGGCTTACTGTTGCGAGGAGTAGGGTTTTCTTTCCCCCCTCTGCGTACGATTTGGGCTTGGGTTCTGCTCCTCCCCGGGTTCGGTTCCGTGTCCCTGTGGTTTCTTCGGTTCCGTCTTCAGGAGGTTTTCGGTTAACCACATCTTTTCGCCTGTGGTGCGGTTGGCCTTTGCGGCTTACCTCCTGCGTGTCCCGGAGCTTGCCTCCATACTGGTTCCTTCTGTTCTGGACAGGTTGGGCTCCTTGTGGCCGTTTGGGCTCCTTTGTAGCCGTTTGGGCTCCTTTGTAGCCGTTTGGGCTCCTTTGTAGCCGTTTGGGCTCCTTTGTAGCCGTTTGGGCTCCTTTGTAGCCGTTTGGGCTCCTTTGTAGCCGTTTGGGCTCCTTTGTAGCCGTTTGGGCTCCTTTGTAGCCGTTTGGGCTCCTTTGTAGCCGTTTGGGCTCCTTTGTAGCCGTTTGGGCTCCTTTGTCGCCGTTTGGGCTCCTTTGTCGCCGTTTGGGCTCCTTTGTCGCCGTTTGGGCTCCTTTGTCGCCGTTTGGGCTCCTTTGTCGCCGTTTGGGCTCCTTTGTCGCCGTTTGGGCTCCTTTGTCGCCGTTTGGGCTCCTTTGTCGCCGTTTGGGCTCCTTTGTCGCCGTTTGGGCTCCTTTGTCGCCGTTTGGGCTCCTTTGTCGCCGTTTGGGCTCCTTTGTCGCCGTTTGGGCTCCTTTGTCGCCGTTTGGGCTCCTTTGTCGCCGTTTGGGCTCCTTTGTCGCCGTTTGGGCTCCTTTGTCGCCGTTTGGGCTCCTTTGTCGCCGTTTGGGCTCCTTTGTCGCCGTTTGGGCTCCTTTGTCGCCGTTTGGGCTCCTTTGTCGCCGTTTGGGCTCCTTTGTCGCCGTTTGGGCTCCTTTGTCGCCGTTTGGGCTCCTTTGTCGCCGTTTGGGCTCCTTTGTCGCCGTTTGGGCTCCTTTGTCGCCGTTTGGGCTCCTTTGTCGCCGTTTGGGCTCCTATGTCGCCGTTTGGGCTCCTATGTCGCCGTTTGGGCTCCTTTGTCGCCGTTTGGGCTCCTTGTAACCGGTTGGGCTACTTCTCGCCTTGTTGGGCTACTTTCTTTCACGTCCTGCGCATGCACCGTGGGAGTTTGTTTTGGTTCCAGGCGGTGTGCACATGTGTTCTACTTCCATTTCTCTCGGGGGGGCTTCGCCTCTTGCTCTTTTCTTAATCCAATCCGTGCCCCGTTGCTTTGGGGGTGTTCTGGGGTGCTGCTGTGGGGAAATCATGAGGTTTTTCCCTGCGTTCTAGGGGTGGGGAGCTTCCTTCGCTGCTCCCCTCCTCTCCAGCATGGGCGCACTGGCCGCCGCCGGCGGATTCGGACTCGAACGCTTGCGTCATGGCCCTTCCGCACCTATGTTCTGCAGGCGAGTTGGTGCGGTTTTGGCGTCTCCTTTGTCCTGACGCTGTTTTTGTTTTTGGGAGTAGGAATGGGTGTACATATGTCCTTGAGAACGTGGACAGTATCACCCGAGGTGCCTACTGCAGGGCTATTAGCCCATACTGGGCAGCTCTTGTTCTCTCCACCTGATTCCTTCCTCGGTTCACGGGTGTCTGCGGGTGGCCTCTTGTCCCTTTCGAGGCGGTTCCTGCCTGTACTCCTGCCCCTCTCCTATGCTTGTCTAACCTTGCTTGAGTTCGGGGCCCCCGCCTCCACCTTGTTCCGCAGTGCAACGGTGGTGGTGCCTGTTTGGTAGTAAGTTTTCCTGTGTCAGAGGTTTTGTGTTCGCCTCCTTGTGCTTGCAGGTTGGGTTCTGGCTCTTTGTTTCCACCTCTCCCCTGTCGTTTGCCTGTTGGGCGGATTCTGTGCTTCTTGGGCACTCTCGTCTCTGCTTGGGGCTGTGTATGGGGTCAGCCCATGTTGGGCTGCCTAATGTGTTCTTTTGATTGCCTGTTACACTGCACACGTTTCTTCTACCGTCCTTGTGGCTCGGTTGGGTGCTCGATTTCCACCTGTGTCCCCTTGTGTGCCACTCGTGTACGATTTATCTATCTTCTCTGTCGCTTCCTCGGGGAGTGTGGTGACGTTTTGCTGCGGTTTTGGTACTGCTGCTGTGTGTCAGGATTGGTTGTGGCGTTTTGTTCGGCCCTTCTGTGCACCGCCTCCACCTTGTTCCGCAGTGCAACGGTGGTGGTGCCTGTTTGGTAGTAAGTTTTCCTGTGTCAGAGGTTTTGTGTTCGCCTCCTTGTGCTTGCAGGTTGGGTTCTGGCTCTTTGTTTCCACCTCTCCCCTGTCGTTTGCCTGTTGGGCGGATTCTGTGCTTCTTGGGCACTCTCGTCTCTGCTTGGGGCTGTGTATGGGGTCAGCCCATGTTGGGCTGCCTAATGTGTTCTTTTGATTGCCTGTTACACTGCACACGTTTCTTCTACCGTCCATGTGGCTCGGTTGGGTGCTCGATTTCCACCTGTGTCCCCTTGTGTGCCACTCGTGTACGATTTATCTATCTTCTCTGTCGCTTCCTCGGGGAGTGTGGTGACGTTTTGCTGCGGTTTTGGTACTGCTGCTGTGTGTCAGGATTGGTTGTGGCGTTTTGTTCGGCCCTTCTGTGCTCCCTCTGGGGCTCTCCTTCCTTGCCGGTCTTGCTGTGCCGGGCCTGGTTTTTTCATGTTCCTTAGATTCTCTGTCTTGTCCCCGCCTCATTGTGCTGGCTGGGGATGAGCTTGGGGTCTTCGTCTCGCCCCTCGCCTATCCTCCGGTTTCGGTTCAAGTTCCAGAGCCTAGTGGGCTCCCTTCCTTCGTGTTTTTCACGGCTGCCCCGGGGTTTTTCTTGACGCTGGGGCTTTGAGGGGACAGCTCGGCCCCGGGGCCTGCAGGGTGGGTTCCCGGGGCTGGGGTGGGGCTCACGTGAGAGGCCTTAGGCCCCGTTGGTCCCCGCTGGGGTGTTTCAACCCCTCTGGGAGGGACTTGCAGTTTTGTGGTGTGGGGTTTTCCGTTCCCCCTCTCCGCACGTGCTTTGTGGGCGTCGGCCCCTCCCTGGGCTCTGTTTCCTTGTCCATTGTGCCCGTTGTTTCCATCCTGTCGGTGGGTGCTTTTCTACGATCTTCGTCCCCTTTTTCCGGGACGGGCCTTCTCCATCATGTCCCCCTCTTCTTGGGGTTTCTGCATGACTTTTGGTCTCGGGTGCGACAGGATTTTGGTGCCTTCTTCCTTTGTGTTTGCTTTTTGTTCTCGAAGGTTCGGGACGGTTTTGCTCCTTCTCGTTTTCTGGTGCGTCTGTTGTCATTCGGTTGGGCTTCCCTCCGGGCCTTTCTAGGGCTTGTGGGTCCTCTTCCCAGCAGCTTCTGGGTGTTGGCCTTTTTGTTCTTTTGTGAATATCTCTTCTCTTCACACTGTCTCGGCGCTACTAGTTTTCCTGCGAGCGATTTTGCTCCTCTTAATGAGTCTTTTAGCTCCTGCCCTTCTGCAGGATGTTGGTGCGGGGCGGCTCCTTATGCGAGTTCCTTCCCTGTCAGCTGCACTTGTGGAGGTGGACTTGCACACTTGTGGCATTTTCGTTTTGGTCCTGCATTTTCTTTTCCCTCCTGGGGCTGTCATAGGATTGGCTTGCGGAGGATGTAGAGGCGCTTGGGGCCGTTCCTGGGTCTGGCACCTTGGTTTCTGCTCCTAGCTTTCGGTATCGATATTCCTTCTGCACCGTTTAGCAGGTTGTATCATGCGTTGTTTCACCTCCGGCCTGCTTATGCACTGGCTGTGTCGTCCTGGTCTTTGGACAGGGTGCTCTCCTGTTTTTCTTCTCCTTGGTGGTTGTGGCTCCTTGGGGTCAGGTTTGCTTTGCCTCGGTTTTCTTTTTGTGTTGGCATTCACCTCTGGGGGCCGTGTGGCAGAGCTTCTTGCTCTTCTCAGGCGCAGTGGTTTTTGGCTCCTATGGTCGTGATCATAGGTTTCTTCGTCTGCAGCCGTTCTCCCTTTTTTCTGGCGAATGATATACCTTGGGTTATTGTCTCAACTTCGTGTTGAGGAGTGATTCACCGACCGCCTCCTGGGTATGTCCCCTTGTTTTCTTAGGTAGTCTTTGGTGAGGTAGCTCCGGGGAGCCGTAGGGGCTCCCCTCATAAAACCAGCGTTGAATGTAATGAAACGCCATTTTCTGGGTGAGTCCCGGAGGCTCCCGGCACCCTCCCGCCCTCCGGTCAGCGAGGTTTTTTCGCAGTTTTGATATCCAGCCTCAGAACTGGGGCGGGGATCGCCGGCGCGTGGGTCTGGGGCTGCCCCTTCCCTCTCCCGGGGAGGGGGGAGCTGCGCAGACATGCGGCGCGGCTCGTGTGACGTCATGCTTGTTAGTTCGTTTTCCTGGGGGAGTTCTGTCCACTTCTTTGTCGATTTTTGTTGTTAACCAGAAAAGGGGTTTGTTTTGTGGCGCTTACCTTTCTGGGTGCCTGTCCCGGTCGATGGCAGATATAGAATGCTCCAAATCACATGTGCATTTCTATGGGCCATTGCTCCCTGTGCCTCTCTGAGGGGGCCAGGTTCTGGCTCGTGGTCCCCGGTAGGCCTAGAACTCCACCCACATCGACTGATGCAAAATAGTTAGGGTATCCATATCAGCCATGGATAGCTCCGGGGAGCCTCCGGGACTCGCCCAGAAAATGGCGTTTCATTACATTCAACGCTGGTTTTTTTTTTTTTGTATTTGGCATCTTTGTCATCATTTTTATGTCTGGCCAGGACAGCAAGACTGGCCATCAGGTGCCCTAGAGGACCTCATGACAACTGCTCTCCTGGAGGAGAAAGTGGAGTTCGTCAAGCTCTTCATCATGAATGGTCTGGTGATGGCTGACTACCTCACTGTAGACAAGCTGCGCCACCTTTACAACAAGGCTGTGAGTGCCAGGCATGATTGTTAGGATGAGTGCCATGTAGTAGTTTTTGCATGTTATTATTATTTGTTACAGAGTACGTTTAATAAATCCACTAATACATAGAGTTTTAGGCATATAAAATTAAATTAAATTTAATTATTCATAGCTTTAATGGGTAAACAATACCACACAAGGAGTCAAATAACATATTTATCTGGGAGAAGTCCCCTGTGGGTCCATGAAGCTACAATGCTGATTTAAGGCCAAACTACTAGATTGCCATCAGTCGCTGAGTTCTTTTTGATCTACTGGGGTCACAAACCAGAACCTGGCCCCCCTCTGTAGAAGCACAGAGAGCAGTAGTGTTATGATAAAATTGTCTGAATTTTAATCATGTTCGCAACCACCAGGAAAGCACCCAGAAAGTTGGCAAAACAAAACAATCCACTGCTGGATAGAAGTCAGACCGATGCCTCAAAATCACCTACAGAACTCCCCCAACCATGTAAACAAAAGATTGAAAATTCATGAAACTTTCACAAACTAATTAGCCCCACCTCTTTTCCTTTCACCTCGTTTTGTGGAAGGAGAGCAGCAGATAGGGTCGGTCAGCTGCTCCACCAACATTTCTTATTCTGTTGCTCTGGCTAGGGTCTCCTGTCTTCAGTTAAGAGGTGTTTCGCTTTTAAGGCATTTTCTGTGCATGGCTGTGCAGCATGAGCCAGGAGTTTAGTGGGCTTGGAGTTGCCTGTGCTCAAGTTAACTTGCCTCTGTGCTTCTTATGTACTGCTCTTGCACTCAGTTATCTCCCTGGAGTGTTTGGGGAAAGCTCCCTTAGGAAGGTTTCCTTACGTGTGGTGACCCTCACCCTTAACCACTGCACTATGCCCACCGTGATATCATGGGGGAAAGAGGGTGCGCCACCTTACATATGACATTTGATGGTATATCATAAGATTCAAAACTTCCTTGGGTTCACGGGGCTCACATCCTGTTTCTCAGGACTCCAGTAAACAGAGGCCTTCATGAAAAAAAATCGTCTGCATTCCTCCTTGTTGTGAGAGCCTCAGTATTGCTAGAACAGTCAAGGCTTGCAGATGCAGCTGAAGCTCACAGCATGGCTGTGCAGCTAGGGGCCACAGCACCACTTAATAATCAGGGCCATAGTATCACTTAATAAATAACTCCAATTATTTTGCAATAATAGTGTCACAGATGATCCTGACTGTAATAGCACTTATGTACAAGGCTCAGATATCATTTCTAGTTATGATGTTCACAGCAGGAGGCAGACATTCACAGCACACAGCTGAGGTTTCTGAATGTATGCATCGTGCAATGTATCCTCATGTTCCTTAAGAAAATAATTTTTGGAAAAATGATTCATATTCACGATTTAGTGACAGGAATCTGCTGATAATAGCAATGTTAGTAGTAATAATAGTGATGTGTATAGTATATTTCTGGGTATTTTGCTCCTCCAGGTAAAGTCGTCTGCTTGAGTCAGCTTGTCTCGTGAAGCTTTATACTGTGAGAAGATTTTATATCCTCACACACCAAAATTACTTAGTGGTTCATTATGGTTTATAAAAATATGAATAGATGTATATAATGTATGTACTGTATACCCTGTATAGTGAAATAACAGCAAAAAAAGTGTTGAATGTAACGAAATGCCATTTTCTGGGCGAGACCCGGAGGCTTCCCAGAGCTTATCCAGGCTGATATGGATATATTGGACTTTGGCATCAGTCAGTGTGAATGGAGTTCTTAGGCCTACCAGGAACCACGAGCCAGAACCTGCCCCCCCCCCCCTTCCTTCAGAGAGGCACAAGGAGCAATGGCCTATGGAAATGCACATGTGATTTGGAGCATTCTATGTCTGCCATTGACTGGATCAGGCACACAGAAAAGTAAGCATCCCAAAACAAATCCCTATTCTGGTTGAAACTATTACTAAATGTCAAATGAGTGGACAGAACTCCTCAAAGAAAACAACCAAACAAGCCTGACATCACCACGTTGCCTCCCTGCTGTCTGCACAGATTCCCCCTCCCCAGGAGGGGGAGATGAACCCCAAGCCCAGGCATGACCCTTCCGGAAGGAACTTCCCTGGGACCCCTGAAGAACCAACAAGTCCAACATCGGCTGACAACCAGAAGAGGCTGCAAGGACAATATGGCGATGAAAACTTAAGAGCCAGGGCCCAGGCAGATTCCAACGAGGAAGCGAGCACCACTTGCCGACACATGAGACGCAAAGCGAAAAACTGTGACACCACATCCCGCAGGATCAGCGCAAACAGCTTCAGCGGTGCAGACGACGCACGCGCTGCCGAGACCAAGACACCAGACCCAGGAATGGCCCCAAGCTCATCCACATCCTCCTGAAGTCAATCCGAAGACAGCTCCAAAAGGGAAAAGAACTGCAAAACTAAAGCCAGCAGGCTATGAGCACTCAAGTCCTCAGCCCCCAGGACAGTCGAAAGGGAGGGAACCTGCACGTGAAGCTGAACCAAGCCAACATCCTGGTGAAGGGTAGGGGCAAACAAACACGCATTGAGGTGCTTGAATTTGCCCCCCAGGTAAACCTGGACCACCGTTAACACCTCACGCCACTCAAGTGTGTGGGTACGACAGAAAGTACTCCAAGCATCCAGTGACAACACAGGGCAGTCCATTAGCTAGGACGACTCCGGAACCTCATAATGAACTCAGTATGGAGATGAAGACCCAAACCTGAAAGAAGACGGATCCATTATACAGGCAAAATCAGGGTCGCATAGGAGGTAAGCTGCAATGGCTTCCCGCACCTTAGTAGGCGAGACGCGGGAAGCTGAAAATCTCTGAAAGGATGGAACTGACGGACCCGAAGGGACTCGGAACCGAACCCAGGAATAAGCCAGCGCCAAATTGAACTCTTATGAAGAGGTGGGAAAAAGAAAACCCCACTCCTTTTAACAGTAAGCCCCGCTCAGAGGGCAGAAAAACCCAGGCTGGGTCCAGTGGGGCCCAAGGCCCCCATGTCAGCTTCTCTCCAACCCCGGGAACCTCCATACCATGACCCTGGGCCGAGTTGTCCTCCAAAGCCACGGCCTCGCAAAAAAAAAACTGGGGCAGCTGGAAAGGCAGGAAGGGGGACCACTTGTCAGACCCCATCAGCACGTCTGGAAGAACCGACCTGAATGCCTCCGTCGCTCCCCCCTGGAAGGGGCAACCCCTGAAAGAGTCAGAGTCTCAGAACCTTCTAAACCCTGCCCTGACCCCTAAGCCCACAGACGCTTTGGACCCGGAAGCAGGGGGAAGAGACCAGAATGAACCACAGCAGGGGAAGAACGAGGGGGCGCGCACTGAACGAAGGCCAAAGCGACCAACAGCCCCAAGTTCAGGTCCTTATAAGCAAAACGGGACAGCCACGGGGCTTCCGGGATAGCAATCAACCTAGCGCATTGCAGCAACCTAAATCTAGCATGCAACGCCTGAGCCATCTGCACCCCATCTGTCAAGGGTACCTGACAGCTGAGCAGACAGCACTTCGGATTCGTAGTCCTGAGGTTCCAGGTTTGATCCCCGGTGGAGGCGGAGACAATTGGGCAAAATGTTTCTTTCACCCTGATGACCCTGTTACCTAGCAGTAAATAGGTACCTGGAAGTTAGTCAGCTGCTATGGGCTGCTTCCTGGGGATGTGTAACAAAAAAGAGGCCTGGTTGAGGACCGGGCCGCGGGGACGCTAAGCCCAGAAATCATTTCAAGATAACCTCAAGATAACCCTGATAGTCATCAGTGGACTGGGTGAGTTGCGTCACAAACGAGCAACATATCTCGCAGGACTCTGAGTCGAAGGTGTCACCGACCCAACAGGCAGCATGACAGAAGCAAAAACAGTGAGTCACCATGAGACAAGGGAGACAGAGCAACCCTCAAACTCGTACAAGGTGAGATGGGACCCAGGGGGTTGCATCCATCGGACCCCTTGCACCCCTGCGGGGTTTCCCAGGGTCCTTAGACTGTTATCACTAAGGATAAGCCCAGGCAGGGTACTTCGAACCAGAGTGCAAGTCTACCATTCATACTGCTAAAAATTGAACCCCAAAGATGTGTCCACTCATGGGGGGGGCCTAGCAGGGACCCAGAACACAGATATATAAACCTAAGATACAGATAGGGGGCAACAAACCAAAGGCAGACCCCCACCAGGCAAAAAAACAAAAAGAGAATAAAAACCCCGCAAGAGGACAACGTACCCAAGTGGAACAGAGCCGGTCACGGTAATAGGTGATAACTAGCTGTGCAGTACCCTGCACCCCTTCCAGTGCAAACTACCCCTTATCCTAAGGGAAACCCCCAGCACACTGATGGGCGGTCAGTCACCGAGCAGCAAAAGACCAACAGAGGTAGACCCCAAGATAACTTGAAGATAACCCCAAGCCCCAAGGAAAGTATTTACAGGGCACGTAGGAAAAGGAACCCCAAGTGCATGCAGCCTGAGTACCAGTGAAGATTACTCCTAGCTCACACACAACCTTAAAGACAGCACTAAACACAAGGCACAGCACTGAGACAAGAAACAGGAGCTGGAGTCACACGCCTCGGTCACATCAGCCGAGAACTGAAGGTGTGGGTAGCTGGCGTAAGGGGTCTGGGGCTCCTCCTTCCCCCTCCTGGGAGGGGGATAACTAATGCCCCTGACTAGCCTGATGATCACCGGTGATCAAGCCACAGCTGAGAGCTAAGGAATCTATAAACATGTTGAATGCAGGCAGAGAAAGGTGCCAGGGAACTGAACCTAGAAAAACCCAAAGAGGAAGGTGGCGATGCAGCAGCCGATGCAGGGCCAACGGAGTCTGCACCGATTGGTCATGGCAGCTGCAAAGCGGGTGCCCCTGAGGAACCAGTACATCCTCCGAATCATAACTCTGTCCAGGGAATAAACAAGGAGGGAAAAGTTGAGGGGCCCCCATCCAGCTACAAGAGCAACTGCCAAGGCACTTGAGGCCACCTCAGCACCAATAAATGGCGACACTGCATCTAAGACAAGGCTGCTGGAGGCATGGACAGCGGCGCCAACCGAAAGTCCCAAATGAGGCCCAACCAAGTATGAGCCTGGGGTGAAACTACTGGGTCTTATGTAAATTCACCAAGAACCTGAGCTTGGCAAACAGGAAAAGAACCAGATCCCTGGCTAGCAGACACACCAACTGGCTGGGAGCCCAATCCAGCCAGTCATCGAGGTAGGCCAAAACCCCAACACCCAGAAAAAACACTAACGCCAGAGTGAAAGTGGTAGACCCGCCACACATCAGGGGAGAACTGACAGTGCAGCAGCCTGTGAACTGTGGCCTGTCCCCCTCCTTCCTTTAAACGAGAGGGATGGGGGTGAAGTGAACAAGTGGGCACCAGTTTTGTAACTTTTTGAGCATTTGTTTACATAGTTTGAGAAATTCTTTTTATATATTTATATACAAGAAGGCACATTGGGTTGTGAGAGTACGTATGTATTCTTACATTCTTGCAAAGCCACTATCACAGAGTATTTCGGACAGGACCATGGCTGCTTTTGAGTTTGCAGGTCTTGGAGGCAGCTGGCTGTGGTTTGTTTTGTCTCACTGACTTTGGCTGGGTGTCTTCCTCAGTGGTGTCATAAATGAACTTAATATATAAATTGTCATGGCTCCCTGTGCCTCTGTAAGGGAACCTGGCTCTGGTGCTGGGTCCCCAGTACGCCTCAGAAGTCCGTGACTGATGGCACCTAGTAGTTCCACTCACATCGGAGATGATGGCTTCAGGAAGCCACTGGGGTTCACCCAGAAATTGGCATTTCATTACATTCACTGATGGTTTTTGGTTAGTGTTTTAAATAAATAAAATAAAATGTGAAATAAATAAAACATTAACTGAACACATCTTGCCAAACAGCATCCTACACTGAATCCAACTTGCCTATCATAATATTGACAACTCAACCGAGCCTGTCAAACTGGTATCACTTAATAAATTCTAAATACTGTATATGAAAGCGACTTCACTCGGAGGAACAACTTACTAAGCATAAAATCACTCAGTGAACCAAACATAACAAGCAATAAATTTCCAACTGATCCCATCCTAACTGACATAGCCTAGCTATTCATCATAACCACACTAACTTTGACCACTCATACCTCATTGCAGTGTGTTCCCAACACTCATCTGATGGGACTGCTGCAGCGATCCTCCCGACAGCATGGCCATCACCACCTCATCCACGTCCATTACCTCCTGCAGGCAATGATGAGACGCCACACAGATCCCATCTATGAGGCTGACACCCCTGATGTCATAACTGACAAACCTTCCATTAATTATCTCACATTTGAGGTAACTTTGTCAGTATCAAGGCACTCTTTATTTCTTGTTGGAATGCACCATGAGGCTGCTATGCCAGTCTTCACCCACCTCAGTGTGGTAAATACCTAAGATGCATTAAACTAATTGTTTACCCCTCTTTCTTCCCCATCCTGAGTTGTATTACACTGAGAGGTGTACCCAGCTTCTCGGTCTATATACACTGAGAGGTGTACCCAGCTTCTTGGTCTATATGCACTGAGAGGTGTACCCAGCTTCTCGGTCTATATACACTGAGAGGTGTACCCAGCTTCTCGGTGTATATACACTGAGAGGTGTACCCAGCTTCTCGGTCTATATACACTGAGAGGTGTACCCAGCTTCTCGGTGTATATACACTGAGAGGTGTACCCAGCTTCTCGGTGTATATACACTGAGAGGTGTACCCAGCTTCTCGGTGTATATACACTGAGAGGTGTACCCAGCTTCTCGGTCTATATACACTGAGAGGTGTACCCAGCTTCTCGGTCTATATACACTGAGAGGTGTACCCAGCTTCTCGGTCTATATACACTGAGAGGTGTACCCAGCTTCTCGGTCTATATACACTGAGAGGTGTACCCAGCTTCTCGGTCTATATACACTGAGAGGTGTACCCAGCTTCTCGGTGTATATACACTGAGAGGTGTACCCAGCTTCTCGGTGTATATACACTGAGAGGTGTACCCAGCTTCTCGGTCTATATACACTGAGAGGTGTACCCAGCTTCTCGGTCTATATACACTGAGAGGTGTACCCAGCTTCTCGGTCTATATACACTGAGAGGTGTACCCAGTTTCTCGGTGTATATACACTGAGAGGTGTACCCAGCTTCTCGGTGTATATACACTGAGAGGTGTACCCAGTTTCTCGGTCTATATACACTGAGAGGTGTACCCAGCTTCTCGGTCTATATACACTGAGAGGTGTACCCAGCTTCTCGGTCTATATACACTGAGAGGTGTACCCAGCTTCTCGGTCTATATACACTGAGAGGTGTACCCAGCTTCTCGGTGTATATACACTGAGAGGTGTACCCAGCTTCTCGGTCTATATACACTGAGAGGTGTACCCAGCTTCTCGGTGTATACACATACTGAGAATTGTATCCATCTTCTCGGTGTATATACACTGAGAGATGTACCCTGCTTCTCTGTATATATACATTGAGAGTTTTCTTGACAACTGGATTGTATTCATTACTAAGGAATACTTGTTGATCACTAAGTAATTGTGGTTGCTTACTAACCCTTTATAGGGTGATAGACCTTACTAACTCTCCAGAGAATGATAGGCCTCGAGGTATGCTTCTATAATCTTACAGATGTTGATAGATTGTTATAGTTCTCCAGATGTTGATAGGTCTTTAATAATCCTCCAGAGGTTCATAGGTCTTTAATAACCCTCCAGAGGTTCATAGGTCTTTAATAACCCTCCAGAGGTTCATAGGTCTTTAATAACCCTCCAGATGTTCATAGGTCTTTAATAACCATCCAGAGGTTCATAGGTCTTTAATAACCCTCCAGAGGTTCATAGGTCTTTAATAACCCTCCAGAGGTTCATAGGTCTTTAACCCTTACACAACAGCTATGGAGAACTAACTGGTCACCTATGTAAAAAATAATTTTTCATAGTAGAATAATGTACTAATTTGTATTTGTATTAAAATTTGAATATAAGAAAAACTTTGTATGTAAAATATAATTTGTATTTAGAATACAAGAAAAATGTGAAAATTTATCATTTCACTGGGTGGAGGTGCTCTGCAAGGATGCGTATGTCCATTTTCACACCTGTTGCTTGATTTTGCTGATTCTACCTGATTTATTCTCTGATGTTTCACCGATTGTTTTATCGCTGTTTTATCTATTGTTTTCTCTATTTACATCCATGGAGAGCTTTTATATCCATATTTGCATCACCTGTAAATCCCAGACAATAATTGTTTAAATAATCCAATCCGTTCTCGCACTTGCTTATAGTCAATATTGGCTTATTTAATAAGTGCATATGTGACATACTAATTGATTGTAAATATTTTAGTTTACCTTGAAAAGCTTCATAGAAAACACCGACCTCACCTAACCTTCTTAATATGTTAAGATAAGAATCTTATTGCTTCTTAATTACAATTATTACTTAACCTATACCGTTGATAGGTTACCTTGGTTACCTACCTTGAGGTGCTTCCGGGGCTTAGTGTCCCCGCGGCCCGGTCGTCGACCAGGCCTCCTAGTTCCTGGACTGATCAACCAGGCTGTTAGACGCGGCTGCTCGCAGCCTGACGTATGAGTCACAGCCTGGTTGATCAGGTTAAGTAATAATTGTAAATAAGAAGCAATAAGATGCTTATCTTAACATACTAAGAAGGTTAGGTGAGGTCGGTGTTTTCTATGAAGCTTTTCAAGGTAAACTAAAATATTCACAATCAATTAGTATGTCACATATGCACTTATTAAATAAGCCAACATTGACAGCAAGCAAGTGTGAGAACGGGTTGCAACTATCTTATGATGATGATGACTGCTGATGCTTCCTCTTTCAATACACACAGAAGGAATCTCTTTCAATAAAAGAGGAAGCTTCAGAGGTAGAATTTCTGGATGACAGAGCCAGAATGCATGGGGAGGGATTGGGTGAAACCCCTGGTTCAGCTTCAATTGAAGCCTCAGAAATCCTTGTGGATTCAGAAGAATCCCAAGTTGCAATCCTTTTACCATGTTGTGGCCTAATTGTCTAAGGCGTGTGCTTGGGAGAACCCAGAGCATAGGTTCGAATCCTAATCACAGCTCCAATGGATTTTCTCATTGATACATTACATTAATGTGATTCCTCTAAAGGTTGATAGGCTTTTATATCTCTCTAGTGGTTGATAGACCTTAATGATCCTCCAGAAGTTGATAGGCCTTAAGCCCAACACCAAACCAATCTAGCCATTATCCTTATTTCATAACCATGTCATCTTTCCTGACAGGACCCATATATGGAACTGTTGCTGTGGGCCATCCTCAGCCGCCGGAGCAAGTTGGCAAGGTACCTCTGGCAACGGTGTAACTCGCCGCTGTGTGCCACTATTGTCTCCTCTTGCCTGTACCGCTCCCTCTGGCTTTCCCTGGGTGCTAAGAATACTGACATCCGGGATGAGTACCTCAGGAACAAGGACATATTTGAACGCCTTTCTGTTGATGTAAGTCTGTCACATTATTAAAAAAAAGTTAACCCATTGCACTCACTCAATTGGTCCCATATTCAGGCCTGAGGGCCCCAGTAAGATTACAATTCAAACATAAATGTCATCAAAGATATTAATAAAAATTATCATACATTAAAATAAAAATAAAAATAAAATGTTTATTCAGGTAAGGTACATACAAGAGATTTTACATAATTTGATCGATTTATAGATGGAGCTAGTACATACAATGCCTAAAGTCTCTATTACGCAAAGAATTTCGGGCAGCACAAAGCACAAGACATTAGTCTTCCTATGGGGCTGGATATCATAGCTTCATGATATCCAATCATCATGTACAGTATATAAATAACAGGTGGCATGACATTGCCACCTGGTATTAACTAATTGCCTAATATAATCTGCCATAGACTAGATATACACAGTCTCCGTGGTGTAGTGGTAAGACACTCGCCTGGCGTTCCGCGAGCGCTATGTCATGGGTTCGTATCCTGGCCGGGGAGGATTTACTGGGCGCAATTCCTTAACTGTAGCCTCTGTTTAACGCAACAGTAAAATGTGTACTTGGATGAAAAAACGATTCTTCACGGTAGGGGATCGTATTCCAGGGACCTGCCCGAAACGCTACGCGTACTAGTGGCTGTACAAGAATGTAACAACTTTTGTATATATCTCAAAAAAAAAAAAAAAAAAAAAAAAAGAATATTAAGGTGTTACTCAAGAAATGGGCAAGCATGTTTCCTATCACCTAATGCCGCTGTTCACCTAGCAGTAAATGGGTACCCATGAGCTAGTCAGCTTGTTGTGGGGTTGTATCCTGGGGTGAGTTTAGTGGTGGGGGGGAGGGGAGACCTCAATACAAGCCTATCATGTACAGTATATATACTTAGGCTGCCTGTCCCTCGACAAAATTTATTATTATTATTATTATTATTATTATTATTATTATTATTATATGTATAAGGATATCATTGGTAACTTCCTTAATGTAGGCTAGGAACCACTTCAGTGTATTTGAGAACTCTGTGAAGATCTTTTATGAGGTGGCAGCCCACATGTTTAACATTTTCTGAAAGTAAAATTCACTAAGTGAATCGTAGTAGAGGGCAGCACGAGGGGTGGAGTGGGATGATTGTGAGGGATCTCAGCAGTATCACTCTTCACCAGGTGTGCTGAGAGGGAGTAGTGCTAGGGGTTAATAATGTTGTGGATGCCTTGGCATTTGACTGTGGCAGTGGATTTCGGGATTTGAAATTAACAACCTTGGAGTTGTAAAGGTAATGTGGGGTTGTTTAGGGTTATTTTATTTTTCTGGTGTTGGCTTCTTGTGAAGAGCCAGTGAGGGGGTTTTGAAGGTCTTTAGAAGGTGGTTCAGTAAATATGCCTGGTATATGCCCTTGTTGAAGTTTCCAAAGTTACATTTTCTGACCAATTTCTTGCCCATCATTGGCAGTTGATGATGGCCGTGTCCCCTTATCTTTACCCTGTTGTGGTTCAATCTGATCATCCCCCCCTTTCTCCCTGCATCCAGCTCCGAACTGTCTGTGGGTTTCGGGGTCGGGGCAGGGTTTGAACGGTCTTCAGACTTGGGTGATCTCGGGATTGCCCCTTATGAGGTGGCGATGGAGGCATTCCAACCTGTTCCTTCAGCCGTGACGTATGGGTCTGCCAGTGGGCTCCCTTCCTTAGTGTTTTTCCTGCTGCCCCGACTTTTTCTTGTGAGGCTGGGGCTTTCGGGAAACAGCTCGGGCCCCAGGTCTTGCTGTGGAGGTTCCCAGGACTGGGGAGGGGCTGACTTGGGGGACTTGGGACCTGTTGGACCCCGCCGGGGTTTTTCTCTACCCTTTGAGCAAGGCTTGCGGTTACATGGAGCAGGGTTTTTCTTCCCTTCCCCCCCTTTGCATACGATCCATATGCAACCCCCCCCCCCCCCCATATGCAATCCTCCCCAGGTTGGGTTCCTTGTCCCTTCGGGTCCGTTGCTTCCGTCATGCCGGTGGATACTCTTCTCTGTTTTCTCGCCCTTCTTCTCTGGGACATGTATTCTCCATGTTGAGGTCATGTTCTCCTTGTATCGGGGTTCTGCATGATCATTGGTCTCGGGTGCGACTGTGACCATATGAACCTTCGTGATTTTGTGCTTGCTTCTGCAGGATCTCGAAGGTTCGGGAAGGTCTTCGATACTTCCCATATTATTGGAACGTTTGTCTTCTTCCAGTGAGGCTTACCTCCAGTCCTTTATAGAACGCTAATTACCTAAGTGTAATTACCTAAGTGTAGTTACAGGATGAGAGCTACGCTCGTGGTGTCCCGTCTTCCCGGCACTCTTTGTCATATAACGCTTTGAAACTACTGACGGTCTTGACCTCCACCACCTTCTCACTTAACTTGTTCCAACCGTCTACCACTCTGTTTGCGAAGGTGAATTTTCTTATATTTCTTCGGCATCTGTGTTTAGCTAGTTTAAATCTGACCTCGTGTTCTTGAAGTGCCAGGTCTCGGGAAATCTTCCCTGTCGATTTTATCAATTCCTGTTACTATTTTGTATGTAGTGATCATATCACCTCTTTTTCTTCTGTCTTCTAGTTTTGGCATATTTAATGCTTCTAACCTCTCCTCGTAGCTCTTACCCTTCAGTTCTGGGAGCCACTTAGTAGCATGTCTTTGCACCTTTTCCAGTTTGTTGATGTGCTTCTTAAGATATGGGCACCACACAACAGCTGCATATTCTAGCTTTGGCCTAACAAAAGTCATGAACAATTTCTTTAGTATATCGCCATCCATGTATTTAAATGCAATTCTGAAGTTAGAAAGCATAGCATAGGCTCCTCGCACAATATTCTTTATGTGGTCCTCAGGTGATAGTTTTCTATCTAGAACCACCCCTAGATCTCTTTCTTTATCAGAATTCTTTAAAGATTTCTCACATAATATATAGGTTGTGTGGGGTCTATGTTCTCCTATTCCACATTCCATAACATGACATTTATTAACATTAAATTCCATTTGCCAAGTGGTGCTCCATCTACTTATTTTGTCCAGGTCTTCTTGAAGGGCATGACAATCATCTAAATTCCTTATCCTTCCTATTATCTTAGCATCATCAGCAAACATGTTCATATAATTCTGTATACCAACTGGTAGATCATTTATGTACACAATAAACATCACTGGTGCAAGAACTGAACCCTGTGGTACTCTACTTGTGACATTTCTCCATTCCGATACATTTCCTCTGATTACTGCCCTCATTTTTCTATCAGTCAGAAAAGTTTTCATCCATGATAGAAGCTTACCTGTCACCCCTCCAATATTTTCCAGTTTCCAGAACAACCTCTTATGTGGAACTCTGTCGAAAGCCTTTTTTAGGTCCAGATAGATGCAGTCAACCCAACCATCTCTTTCCTGTAATATCTCAGTGGCTCGATCATAGAAACTGAGTAAATTCGATACACAGGATCTTCCAGATCGAAAACCATACTGTCTGTCTGATATTATATAATTTCTCTCTAGGTGTTCTACCCATTTAGTTTTGATTAGTTTTTCCAATACTTTCACTATTACATTTGTCAATGATACAGGTCTATAATTGAGGGGGTCTTCCCTGCTGCCACTTTTGTAGATTGGAACTATGTTAGCCTGTTTCCATATGTCTGCTACGATTCCTGTACACAGGGATGCCTGAAAGATCAGGTGAAGTGGAATGCTGAGCTCAGGTGCACATTCTCTCAGAACCCATGGTGAAACTCCATCTGAAGTCTGGTTTTTCAACTGCTTCAAACTCCTTATTTTCTTCCAGCTTATAGCGCATTGCATACTTTATTCCCAAAAAGACATGGTCACTTTTACCCAAGGGAGGAAGGTACTGAATGTCAAATATCTCTTCCTCCTTCCTGGTAAATATCAAATCTAGCATGGAGGGAATGTCCCCTTCCCTCATCCTCGTAGCTTGTTTAACATGTTGATACAAGAATGTTTCCAGGATGAGGTTTACAAATTTACAGGTCCAAAAATCTTCTGTTTTAGCTTCATATGCTTCCCAGTCAATGGATTTCAAGTTGAAGTCACCGACTATCAACAGTTGTGATCTATCGGTATCCGGTCTCGCTATAATCTCTCTCATTATTGTTATAAGACCTTCACGTTTACTATCTAGCTCCTCTTTTGACCATGTGCTGCTTGGCGGTGGACTATATGCATTTATTATCATTAGTTTATCATCCTCATGGCAGATCTCTAGTGCTATTATGTCAACTTCTTGTGGATTGGCAGTCATTATTTCGTTCACCTTTAGGTGTTCTTTTACCAGCACAGCAACACCACCGCCTTTCCTAATTTTTCTGTCCCGTCTCCAAATTGAGTAGCCCCTTGGGAATATGACCTCATTTAAAATTACATCTTCAAGTTTTGTCTCCGTGAGTGCAACAATGTCTGGTGTCTGCAGCTGTATTACATCACTTAACTCCAGTATCTTCGATCTCACTCCATCTATGTTGGTGTATGCAATCTTCAGGAACTTGTTCCCCCTCTCCTTATTCTTCACTCCCCCTCTCTCTATTGATTTTGTTGGTTTGCCTTTATGTACCACTTTACTGGTTTGCCTACCCCTATCACTTTGTAGAAAAAAGAATTTATTTCTTCTTCATTCCTGCTCTCATTTAAATGTTTTTGCCTCGGCGAGGTTCAGTTTCAGCTTCTCTCTATCTTCTTTTGAAAGATCTCGTCTTAACGACCACCCTTTCCCATCCTCATCACTTTGCAATTTTCTAGCATTCCTTAGTACTTCTTCCATCTGTTTGGCACCGTTTAGGGTGATCCTCAAAGGTCGATCTTTCCCTTTTACGTACCTGCCTATTCTCCTGTAGTCGCACACATTCTCTATGGTTGTAAGACCTTCCACGAGGCCAACAATTTTATCTACTACTATAGCTGCTTCTACAGCTCTTTCTGACCAAGATGTTATCGCCTTTTCTTTGCAGCCAAAAATGATCAGG